CTGGGAAAGTTCTAAGCGCCGCGCGGACTTCGCGACTCGCGAAGAAGCGAAACGAAACCGTGCTCGCGGCGCGGCGTCTTCGATTTTTATCCTGCCGCCGGAAGGAACGTTTTGTACCTCGCTTCCGCAACAGTTCTTGTTAGCTTGTGCAACGTTTTGCAGCACAGGTTTTTCCGCTTCGAATGTTTTCTTTTTCGTAGGNTAATAATATAAGTAAATAATAATAATATAATATAATAATATAAGTACATAATAATAATATAATATAATAATATAAGTAAATATATAATATAATATAATAATATAAGTAAATATATAATATAATATAAATTATAAAAATGTTAGATTTTATCACTTTTACAAAACACCGCGATACAGTAATGTCTCCCTTACTGACGCTCAGATTGTTGAGAGAAATGAACAATTTTGGAAGAGGAGACACGATTATTCGAGCCTCGCAGCTCGTTTTTATAATCGTTGACAATTCGTCACTAAAATAAAAACAAATCGCAAAGCTCGAATAATCGCATCTCCTCTTCCCAAATTGTACATTAATTGTGGACAATCTGAGCGTCAGTAAGGAAGACATTACTGTACTCGTGCACGTTATAAATTATCAATATTAAACGTACAAAAAATTGCGAGATCCGTTTCTAGAAGATCACACGCTATAAAATGTTAGATTTGATCACTTTTACAAAACACCGCGGTATTTGGCGCGTCCGCAGTAATACCCGCACTCGTCCTATCGCGTCGATGCCGCCTCGACGCGCGGCGAGCCGAAGTCGCGTTTGCTCGTGAACGGTCGGCGAAAGAATAGGAATTCGTAGCAGAAGGTTTTGCGGAAACGTAGCAGTATCGCGGACGGCGGACATTTATCTGGTATTGCGATCAGGGGCAACGAGTCGCCGCGGAAGAAATCGTTCTCCGGCAAACGAGCTGTCGATCGCAGCACGCCGAGATCGTTATGCCGCGGTTCCTTGTCGGCCGGGTCTTCTTGCGATCAAGAAGAGCCTGTTTTTCCCGTCAACCGTCGATTCGTCGTCGGATAAACGTGTCTCGAACGATTGCGGCCCTCGGAATCCCTGGGAAAGTTCTAAGCGCCGCGCGGACTTCGCGACTCGCGAAGAAGCGAAACGAAACCGTGCTCGCGGCGCGGCGTCTTCGATTTTTATCCTGCCGCCGGAAGGAACGTTTTGTACCTCGCTTCCGCAACAGTTCTTGTTAGCTTGTGCAACGTTTTGCAGCACAGGTTTTTCCGCTTCGAATGTTTTCTTTTTCGTAGGTCGTTGTTCAGCCGCTCTTTGTACCGCAGTTTACACTCTTTCGTAGATCATACCCGCCATTTTGCAAGTAAAATTAATCCTTTCGCACGGCGCGTTCGGCGTTTTGCAAGTGAAATTCATCCATCCTCTCGTTGATCATGTTCGCCTTTCTTTTTGCAAGTAGATCGACCTTATTCGATCTCTTCCGAATGAAATTCAGCTTTCTGGAAAAGTAATTCGTTCGTTCGTATAATTGTTTGTAAGGAAATTCGTGTTCAATTCAAGCATTGAGTAACATTTTATGTAATTATTTGAAGAAAGGTTAGTTATTTGTAATTGTTTGTAAGGAAATTCGTACTAAAATCAAAAATTGTGTAACATTTTATATAATTAATGGAAGAAAGATTAGTTATTTGTAATTATTTGTAAGAAAACTCGTACTAAAATCAAAAACTGAGTAATATTTAATATAAGTATTAGCAGAAAAGTTAGTTAAATCTAAAGAAATTTATATTATTTTATGGCAAATACGTAAATTCGTATTCAGTTTAAACATTGAACAAAAGACGACCAATTCTGATCTGTGAAAGGGTTAATTTTATCTGCAAAAAAGCGAAAGAAACAGTAAAACCATTTCAGCAACTTAAAAAGACTTGTAGGCTTATTTAGAGCATACTATAAAATTATTAAGAAATTCAATAAATACCAGCGTAACTCCCGCATCTTTTAATTAGTGCAGGAAATTTTTATTTTGCACAAAACTCCGGGATCTAATCGTCGACAAAAATAGTTCACTCGATAACGTGTCAAGAGTCTGTTAAAGAGTCTATTAAACTAGTTTTAAAAATAAATCCACTCGAAACGAAAGAAATTATTTTAAAACAGGAAAATAGTAAGTAAGAGTTAACAAGACCCGTAATCAAATTAATAGCATGAAAAACGACGAAAATAACTTTTCTATTGTTGAATTTATATCGTTGTACAGCTAATGTTTCCGAAGGACCGTTTTGAACAGACACGCCAATAATTAATAATAATAATAATTATACGCATTAAATCCGCCAATTATTTGTCATTACACCGAGCATTCTCAACTACAATGCGACGTAATGAATTTCAAGTTCTACAATGCAACAACCAGAGTCGGGCAAAAAGCAATCTAATTTGCGATTAACTCGCGTAATTGCGATAACTCGCTAGTTATTATGAATTAATATTATAAATCATTTATAATAGCTTGCAAATTGTAATCGTTAATCATTAATAAGATTGCTTTTCGTATAATTGTGGTTGTTGCATTGTAAAATTTGAAATTCGTTAGGTCGCAGTATGTAATATTCTGACTAATTATCTGTATTATTGCATTATAATTATCTTAACTAATATAGTAATCAATTATTAAATAATCTAATAATAAATCTAATAATCTAATAAAGTAATAAATCTAAATAAAAAATGGATCTAAATAAATCTAAATAAAAAATGAATCTAAATAAATCAAAATAAAATAATAAATCTAAAAAAATCTAATAGTAATAAATAATCTAAATTAAACAATCTAATACTAATCTGCAGCGGGTCAACCTGTAACCACTAATTCGCAGTATTACACTAATTTATACTAACTTATAACAAAAAAACGGATTACAATCGTTACACTTTAATCGAATTACTTTTCGCCCAACTCCGGCAAGAATAACTGTATTAAACAAGAAAGATCGTTCGAGAGAAGTATAATCTCTGGCGGGACGGAATTAGGCGAACCGGGCAGCGTGGCACGCCTGATCCCGAATAAAACGTGATAATCTCGGCATCCGGTCGTCGCGATCTCGTAACCGTTCGAAGCAACGGCTCGGTTCGAGGATATCGATTCGGCGAAGTTCGCGCCCGTAGCAACGAGAGAATCCGCGGGCAATTTGTCGAGATCGATAAGAGACCGGGCGATAAGCCGCGAGTGTCCAGAATCGCAAGGACGAGTCGAGAGATGGAAAGATTAAGAAGTGGAACAAGAGTCGAGGACGGTTTTGCAAACGAGCCGCTCCGGTCGGACAGCTCCAAGGGTAACTATTAGAACGTGCCGACTAAGGACAGGATATGTGTACCGATCGCTATTAAGATAAAACCCGTTGCTCCTTCCGCGACGATTTCGCTGCTCGTTCGCGAACGAAATCGGTTACCAGCACGCGTACGGAGATTTCAACGCGGCCGCACTTCGCCGCGGATCCTCGCGTTTTCACTTATTTCTCTCGCTTCCGTTTCGCCGAATTTTCACTCCCGAAACACGTGGGACCGACTGTACTGTGGACCGACCAATTACTGTGCCTTTGGTTCGTTTCCGAGCATAATTGTCTGTGTATTTATCGGATATTAAACTTCTTTTATTCGGAAATAAACGAGGTAGAAGCACAAAAGAATGTGATACAATAATGTCTCCCTTACTGACGCTCAGATTGTCCACTAAAATGGACAATTTGGGGAAGAGGAGATACGATTATTCGAGCCTTGCGACTCGTTTTTATAATTGTACAATTATGTTATTATATATATATTATTTATATATTATTATAATATAATATTATAAGATAATAATATATAATAATATATATTAATAAAATAATAATATGTATAAATAATATATAGTCTATAGTTAGAGTATAGATAGTATAATACTAGTCTATACTACTACACAATACTATCTATAATAATATATACTCTAATCTAAATAATATATATAATATAATATAATATATATAAAAAAAATAATATATATAATAATATATAAATACTACTATAATACTATTATACTATAATACTACTATAATATATATATTATTTAGATTAGAGTATATATTATTATAGATAGTATTATAGTAATAGTATTTGTATTATTTATATATTATTATATTATTTTTATAATTGGACAATTCATAACTATAAAAATAAACCGCAAAGCTCGAATAATCGTATCTCCTCTTCCCAAATTGTCCATTTCTGTGGTCAATCTGGGCGTCAATTAGAGAGGCATTACTCTAAGCCTTTAATATTTTCTCTTTCAATATTTTTTAAATGAAAGACGATATAATAATATTCTCAAATTCTGACGTAAACGAATCAAATTTATAAACAATTATCACAGATGCATTCTCTCGACATAAATCGACGAATCTCGCTTTCTATTTTAAAAACGTCGACTTTAAAAAGGTCCGAAATAAAAATAACCTCAAAAAAAGAAACAATATCCAAGCAAAAATTGATAAAATTGTCGAACGAAAGCGTAAACGATCCTTAGAAAATGTTCACAAGAAAGAACAAAATTACGGATCATCTACGAAATCCTTAAAAGTACTTGAAGAAATGAGAAATAAATAAAACCTCGAAATTAACCAGCGTCTAAAAGCAAAACTAAACGCTGCTAATAATGATTATAATTCCTATTGCTGTGCAAAATACATAAAATTCAGAGAACCGTGGAAACTGGCGCGGCGACTTCGCATGAAACAGCTGTGAACTATTAACGAAACGAGCAGCACCCTTTTGTACACCTCACGGCCCCTCCCCCTTTTCCACGCCACTGTCCACGTCCCTGGAACGCCTACGATCGTTCCGCAGCTTTTCACAGCCGCATGCGAGAGCCGTTTTGCTTGGATCGTGCTGGACACGATCGGAGGCGTAGGCGGAGGCGGTGATTTTTCATTGAAAATCGAATGTGTGTTTTTCTTTTTTCCGTGCCCGCAGGGAGGGAGAGGGTGGCGGCGGTGGCGGCCGTTCTGTGACCAACGCTGGTGGGGGTGGAGGAGGAGGCGGAGGTCGACGGGCACCGAGTTTACGACTGGTGAACGGAAGAGCGACTACGGGGGTCAGTTTGCACACCAGCAGCACAGAATCCGTTCGTTCACCCCATCACCACCTCGGCCAGCAGCAGCAGCAGCAGCAGCAACAGCAGCAGCAACAGCAGCAGCAGCAGCAGCAGCAGCAGCAGGGCGGCAACAACAATAACAATAACAACAACAACAACCATAATAACAACAATAACTGCCACGCCGGTAATAACCCCGCCGCGAACAATCATCCACGGCTTAACAAAGATGACAGCATCAAGATCAGCATCGAGAACACGAACACTTGCACCGACAGCCTCGTCACTGCTCTAGACGACGAGACCTTGCTCATCACTGATTTCCCGGGCGACACAGGTGAGTCATTGATTTCCTGCTCTCTTCACCTCCTAACCCTGAGGAGGTCGCGGCCGATCCGAAACGATACATGCAAATTTCCTGGTCGCGCGAGAGCTTTCCGGCGAATCTCGTTTCATATGAAAATAGGAAACAGGGAAATGCGCGGCGACCAATTTGCTTCGCCTTTGATTCGTTTTTCGGGCATAGGTAACTTTGTTGTAGCTTTTTTTTATAAATGAGAATCGTAAATTCTGTTTATAATTATGAATTTAATTGTAGTAATTTTAAATTACTAATTATAAATTCTGTTTATAATTATGAATGAAATTATAATAATTTTAATTGTAATTGTAAATTTTATTTATAGTTATACATTTAATTATTATTTTAATTTTAACTATCAATTATAATTGTAATTATCATTATAATTTTAATTATCAATTATAATTGTAATTGTCATTATAATTTTAATTATCAATTATAATTGTAATTATCATTATAATTGTAACTATCATTATAATTTTAATTATTAATTATTATTTCGGACTGCACGTGCTACATTATTGTGAAATAAAAAATATACAACGCCATTTGAAAGAAATTAAGGCGACCCGGATTTTTTATCGAAAAAGTAACAATCTTTAAAATGAAGAGATTAATAGAAGTGCACGAAAAAAATGTGAGCAGAAATTAAGGAAACACCCTGTATGTGTATGGAAAACGTAAACATTGACATTGACATTAAAACAATATTTGTTGCTAAAGAGTTATTTTTAGATTATTTTTATCAATGTCACTTCAAACAGAACCACATAATTTTTCCAATCTAAGTCAATACAGTGGCTCGTCATTTCGCCTAGAAAATCTGTAATAAAATTTTACGATCTATTCAGTCTCTCTACATTCGGATTGAAGAATTATCGTAAAAATCGCGGAGCAATGTACATACCGCGATTCGACGGTATTCAAATTAAAACATCTGCCAGACTCGCGAATTATTATCATCGTAAATAACGAATTTCCGTTCGCACGGATGGCGATATAACCGGCGATCTAAAATTGAGATCGAACAATCGGTTTTCCAAGCAGCACAATTTTGCTCGCGATTACGTCAATCGTGTCGCAGCGAGCGAATCGCGTAACATTTTCGTCGAAAGTCTTGAAAAAAATCTGTTTCGAAAATAACTCGATCTCTCGCGTCGAGGTCTTCGCAGGCCTCGACGCCGTTACCAGCCGCCTTGTCCTTACCCTTTCTACCCTAACGAGCCACTGAACTACCCTAACGACTTATTTTATTTAAATCATTAAGATCATTAAGATCGTGCGAACGATCTTCGTCCAGACCGGAAATTAAGTTCTTCCACAAATCGTTTTAGAATCCGCGATATTCGGGAGAATTTACTGTGGCGCACCTTAAATTATTTAATTATTTGACGAATAAACGTGGACAAGTGATTTCAATCTTGGCATGTTATTGTGCGTGCTGCTTCGACAATCGTTTTACGTGACATTGGGACGAACACACGTTTTGCAAACAATACGCGATATAAGACCGGTCGAAAGCGTCTAGAAAGGTTTCACTTAGCGGCGTAGCACTCGAAATTGATTTTCACTCGTATATTTAGGACGGACGCGGCTGAAGGGGGTTAATTTTAGCCGGCTAGAGAAGTGGTCTTCGCGTGAGTGCTCATGACAAATGTTTAGATCATCACGAAGGATACCGGTGAGTTTATATTATCCGGCGCCGAGCTCGTTTCGCGCGATAATTCTCGCCGGAACGAGAAACCGTAAAACGTTCCGTGCGATTACATCGCCCCGCGGAATCGATTAATTCCTTTTTAATTCTTTTGTTTTTTTTTTCGAAAAGAGTTCCGCTTAATCTCGAGGTGTCGCCGTCCCGTTTTCCACGATAGATCACGAAGAAGACACGCGCCGCACGCTCGACGCCGGCGAGTTGAGTTACAGTTGAATCTTTCCCGCCGGAAATTTCATTGCGCGGCCCGTAATCCATACTTTTCGCGCGACGCGACGGTTTTATGATACTTCGTTAGATCTCGTTGAAAAGGACGCGGAATCTTTCGCAGCTCGTTCGTCCAATCGGCGCGCCGCGAGACGCCGGATTACAGTAATGTCTCTCTAACTGACGCTCAGATTGTCCACAAGAATGGACAATTTTGGAAGAGATGATACGATTGTTCGAGCCTTGTTGCTCGTTTTTTTTTACGGTTATCGATTGTCAACAACTATGCAAACGAGTCGCAAGGATCGAACAATCGTATCGCCTCTTCCCAAATTGTCCATTAATCGTGGACAATCCGAGCGTCAGTAAGGGAGACATTACTGTACTCGTGCACGTCATAAATTATCAATATTAAACGAACAAAAAATTGCGAGATCCATTTCTAGAAGATCATGCGCTATAAAATGTTAGATTTGATCACTTTTACAAAACACCGCGGTACAGAAATGTCTCCCTTACTGACGCTCAGATTGTGCAGAGAAGTGGACAATTTGGGAGGAGGAGACACGATTATTCGAGCCTTGCAGCTCGTTTTTGTAATCGTTGACAATTCGTAACTATAAAAACGAGTCGCAAGGATCGGTTTCGTATCGTATCTCCTCTTCCAAAATTGTCCATTTCTGTACACAACCTGAGCGTCAGTAAGGGAGACATTACTATACTTCGTCGGGACGAGCGACAATGCGAAACGTTTTGGCGCGACACCGATCCGGCAAGACGAACGCGAGAAATATGATAATCGGACTGCGGATCTTTATGGAAATTGCCATTTTGCACTGTTCACTGTTCGAAAATCGGAACGCGACGAACCGTTTTCTCGACGACTGGATTGCACGTTTGGAACGGGGAATATAAATGACAGACGTTTGACAAATTTCTGCGGGGAAAGTTGGTAACGAAAACGTGCTCATTATTCGAGTTGATGCTATGGATCGCGTGAAATAGATTGTTCACGTTTATGGCGGAATTGAGGAAGTGGAACGCGGGAAAGAAGCCACGAGAAGAATCCTGGAGCCTTTTGTCGCGCTGTTTTTAATCTGTTGAAAGTATTCGGAGACGAAGTTCGTTTTTATTTAACTCTTGTACTGGAGTATAGGTTCAGGCAATTTTTAATTGTTATGGAAGTCATTAAGTTATTTATCATTATTAACGCTAAAATTGTGCTACGTTCCATATCTTCTATTATCAATTTTCCATTTACCGTTTTCCATTTTCAATATATTTTATTTTCCATTTTCCGTCTTCCATTTTCAATATAACTTATTTTCCACTTTCCGTTTTCCATATTTTCCATTTTCCATTTTCCATTTTCCATATTTTCCATTTTCCATTTCCATTTTCAATATATTTTATTTTCCCTTTTCCGTTTTCCATTTCCCATATCTTCCATTTTCCATTTTCAATATATTTTATTTTCCATTTTCCGTTTTCCATTTCCCATATCTTCCATTTCCAATATATATTATTTTCCCTTTTCCGTTTTCCATTTCCCATATCTTCCATTTTCCATTTTCCCTTTTCCATTTCAATATATTTTATTTTCCCTTTCCCTTTTCACTTTCCCTTTCCCTTTCCCTTTCCCTTTCCATTTCCTTTCCCTTTCCCTTTCCCTTTCCCTTCCCCTTTCCTTTCCTTTCCTTTCCTTTTCCCTTTCCCTTTCCCTTCCCCTTTCCTTTCCTTTTCCCTTTCCCATTTTCCCTTTCCCCTTTCCCTTTTCCCTTTTCCCTTTCCCATTTTCCACTTTCTTCTCAATTAGTAAATTTCGAAGCACACATTTTGGCAAATTTCAACACTTTCATCTTTTAGAAATCTCTCCTCGGATTACAACATATTTAGTAAAACCATAAATTCCAAGGAATATTGCCGATATATTATCATCGCATTCGGTAATCGCGAATGCAAGAGAACTGCAACAAATTCATCGCGACCCAGTGACATTAACGCTATATTTACGGAACCCGTCAAAATGACGGTTCAATAATTTGTTAATTCAAGATTGTTCGTATCCTAAAGGTACATCTACAAGTTATTTATTCAATTAATGTTATTACGATGACACTTGATAAAAGTCAGAATAAATGTTACTTGTGTTACTTTTATAAACAGCTGTTCTCTGTGCACCGTAAATCTAGCATTAACCCCGTGAAAATTTGTTCATCCGCGACGAACGTGCCCGTAAATGTTCGATGATCGTGAAACGACGCGTGTTTGCTCCGCTCATCGTTTCGCCGTCATCGTCGGCGTGTAACCCGCGAATCGTCAACGATGAAAACACTGGAGCACCGTTATCAAATAAAATGTGTTCACGCGGAGCGTCGTTACTCTTTGTGCAGTTGCCCGGCGCAGTTCGATGGCGAAATAAATGTTGAAAATCGCGAGGCAGGCGAACGTGTCAACAGTGAAATATGGAGCGGCATTGACGTACGCGTAAGAATGGCCGTTGAATGACTCGTTTGCCCGTCGACAAATGCGCGTAACGAGTCCATTATCGGCCCGCTCGCAATATATGTATTGCAGAAAAGCAATCAACGCGGCCCGTGCATTTAACGGCCGTGTTTACGGGCACGGAATAACAGAAAGAATCGGCCTCACTTCGACCCGCCTAATTTTTTAATAGCCAATTCCGCGAGCGCCACCCACTTTCGAAACTCCTGTAAATCCAAAATGCGTCTGAACTTTTATGAGCGCAAGCGATTCGGCAAATCTGAATTATTTCTTTTTCTGTTTTATGATAACTTTTGCATCGACACTTTAATTCTGTTACGAAAGTTCAATTCAAATAAAATAAACATTTCTTAAGAAACATTTCGAAGTAGAATATAAAAGATTCTAGATATTTTTCAATTTACTTGGCATTATTTAAGGAACTGGGAACAGGATAAATTGTAGTTGGACAAGCAAGCCGTGATTATTATGTAGAGTTATTTTATCGAACATTTACATTGAAAGGAAAATAGTGCTGAAACGAGAAGCGTATTAAATAGAAGCACTGAAGAAG